CGCGGCGGGGCGCCGGCGGCTTCGCGGCGGCCTCCGGCTGCCTCGCGGCGGGCGCCGGCCGCCTCGCGGCGGGCGCCGCCGGCTTCGCGGCGGGCGCTCGCGGCCTCGCGGCGGCCGCCGGCTTCGCGGCGGCGGGCGCCGGCGGCCTCGCGGGCGCCGCGCGCTCGTCGTCGTCGTCGTCGGAGGCGCGCGACGACGTCGCGCTGCCGCCCGGCGTGGCCCGGCGCTTGTCCGAGCCCGGCGTCCGGCGCCGCCGCTCGCGCGGCGCGGCCCCGTCGTCGTCGCCGCCGCCGGCGGGCGCGCGCGCGCGCTTCGACGACGTCTTGGCGCGCGGCGCCGGCGCGAGCGGCGTGCGCTCGCGCGACCGCTCGCCGTCGCGAGGCCCCGTCACCTTGGCCGCCGCGCGCCGCGGCTCGCGCGGCGTCGCGCCGTAGCTCGCCGCCGTGACCGCGTCGTGGACGTCGTCGCGGAAGACGCGCTGCGCGAGCTTGAGCTTCGATTTCGTCTTTTTCAGTTCCTCCTTCAGGGTGCGGTTTTCTTCCTCGAGCGTGCTAATGCGCTCGTCGGAGGCTCGTTCCGCGTCCAGTTGGCGGCGCAGCGACGCGATCTCCGCCTCCGCGGTATCGAGGCGCCCGCGCCACGTCGCTTCGTTGCGCTCGAGCTGCGTGAGGATCGATTCCATGTTGGGTGGTTCACGGCGTGCTACGGCGCGCTGTCGCGCGGCGGCAACTGCGGCGCGCGCGTCGGCCCACCGATCGTTCCCTCGAGCTTGCCGCCGTTGCCGCCCGACAGGCTCCCGACGCGTCGGACACGTCATCGAGACGCCTCCGAGCGGCCCTCGACGGCCTGATGGAGTAGTGCGCATAGTATCTTAGCTTTCTGTCCGCGAACGCGACCGAATGGCGCTCACATAGCCGCGCCCCGGGCCCCGAACTCGGGCGGGAATTCGACGTCGACGACGATGCGCGCTTCCGGCGCCACGGCGGCGGTGCCGCGGCGCTGCCCCCGGCCCCGCTCGAGAAATCGTATGGTCTGCCGGAGGCGCGCGTTCTCCAGTTCGAGCTCCGTCATCCGAGCGTGATTCGGCAGTTGCAGAATGGTCGCGACGCCATCGGTGCCCGCTTCGGCGGCTACCTTCTTGAGTGTGTCCACTCGCAGCCTGAGATCAAGGGCCTGGAGCATGAGCGAGATCTCCTCCGCGTAGGCGAGGATATCTCCGTCAGTTGCGACGAGGATCTTTCTGGCCCGAATCAGGTGCTCGTTCACGGAGGACAAATCGCCGGGAAGCTTTCCCGCGGCCTTCGCCTTGGCGCTCTCGATGTGCCACGCGACCGCCGCGTCGTTTTCGATGACGCCGTCCTCGATCGCTTCGAGGATGAGCGACCGCGTCGACGCGCAATCGACGAGACGACTCCCCATCTCCTGGTTCGTCAGGGGCGACGTCGACTTCGACGAGAGCCAACGCTCGATGGCGTCGCGCTCGTAAACGCGGCCATCCGCCGCGACGACCGGGCGCACGCAGAGGCGAAGAGAGATCGGACAGGTGACCTGCGCCAGCCAGGCCCGGGCGAACTTTTCCGACGCCTCCAAGGAAATCTGCTTGCCCTCGAGCATGTGCGCGAGCTGCATCTCGCGGCCCGCGTATTTCGTCAGGAGCTTGTCGACGAACGCGACCTTTTCCTCCGGCGGCGAAGAGAGCGCGACGAGCTTCGCCCGGTAGGCGGCGGCGGGCGGGATCGGAGTCACCGGCGGCGGCGCGGCCGCGGGCGGGATCGGCGACATGACCGGCGCCGGCGGCGGCGGCGGCTCGCTCTCCTCGGCGCTCAATGTCGCGATCGACCGCGCAAAGCTGTCTTCCTCCGTCGATGGCGAGGAGCCCGGCATATCCGGGGCACGCTGCATGGAAGGGAGTACGCGTTAAAACGAGTCGCCTGAGCTAGTGCCGCGGCGGTCGAGCCCCTTATTTTGAGCACAGCTCTAGCGATTTTACCACAAGGCCTTGTGGGCGTGCACGATGCTCCGCCTCATCATCCTCGCCGCCGCGACGGCCTACCACGTCAAGGAGATGCACACGGAAAAGGTCGCCACCACCTACGAGCCCGACGAGGAGATCCCCTGCCCCTTTCAGCAAACCGATGACCCCAGCTGGTACCTCGCCCCCGCGAAGCCCGGCGCCCCCGGCCCGCGGGGCCGAAGAAAGACCTGCGCCTTCCTGGGCCAGAATCGGAAGACGCGCGCGCTCTGCGGCAACGCGGGCGCCGACGGCCGGCCCGGGAGCGCCGCGTGCCCAAACGCGTGCGACGCGTGTTGCGACGGGTCGCCGCTCTTCGGCGCCGCGCCCACGCCCGCGTGCAACGAGACGGCCGCGGAGCTCGCCGCGGCGCGCGCCGCCGCCGCGGCCCTCGGCGACTTCTGCGACGACCCGCCGCCGCGGCGCTTCGCGCGCCACGGCCGCACCGTCTGGCCCGGGCCGCGCGCGACGGCGCTCGCGTGTTTCGCCGTCCACCAGGAGGCGCCGCGCGGCGACCAGGCCGCGGCCTGCTGCACGGCGGACAACTGGAACCGGTCCAGACCCGTGGCCGCCTACCTGACGTACCCGCGGTCCCACGTCGAGGCCGCGTTCGCGCTCGCGGAGAACTCCGACCGCGACGTCGACGCGAGCTTCGTCGGGCGCCTCCACCGCCTGCCCGAGGAGAACCTGCCGAACCAGCGCATGAACAGGATCACCTGGGAGAACCGGCGCTGGGTCGTCGCCTTCGCGCGGACCTTTTTCACGGCCGCGTCGGTCTTCGTCGACACGACGGTGCAGGACCCGGCGGCCTACGAGAGGCTCGGGCCCTACGACGCGTCCGCGGGGGCGGCGGCGTCCTACCGGCCCACGTCGTCGACGCGCGACGGCATCGACGCGGGCGACGCGCACCGCTGCGCCAAGGCGTCCTGCGACGGCGCCTACTACGCGGCGCTCAGGGCAGGAAAAGAGTGCGAAATTCCCAACTTCAAAGGCTCCTAGCTCGGCCGTTTTCCACTCGTTTCGGCTGATTTTTGGACGAGCGATCATCTCTCGGAACGGTCTCGACGCGTGGATGCTTTTTCCGGAACGCGCGCGCGCGGAACACTCACGTTGAAGCGACGTTGGATCACCCTTTTGCTGCCCAGGCGGCGCTCGCGCGGTCGCGGTTCGCGCTCGCGCCCGCGGGCGACCGGCCCTACAGCTTCCGCTTCTTCGAGGCGATCCTCGCGGGCGCCGTGCCCGTCGTCTCCCACCCGGCGCACAGCGGCCGGAGCTACGCCGAGAACGCGCTCGGCTACAAGTACCTCCTCGCGTCCGAGTACGCCGCGCGGCGCGAAAGGTTCCCGGGGCCGCCGCCCTACTGCGCCGGCTGGGCGGCCCACAACCGGGCCATCTTCCTCGCGAAGCAGACGGCCATCGCCGACGCGGCGACGGTCGCGCCGGGCGCGGGCCGCTGCGCCGCGGAGGCGTTTTCGTAGCTCGCGCCGCCGCGTATGAATTTTGCCGGTGACGCAAGCTTCGATAGATGAGGCAACAGCTTACCGCCGCTTATTATACTTGCGCTTCTTGCGCTTCTTCGCGACGTCGGGCGCGAAGAGGAGGCTCTCGCTCGCGGCCGCGGCCGCGAGGAGCGCGTCGACGGCGCGCGCGTCGTCGACGGCCCGCGCGAGCGCCGCGAGCCACGCGCGGAGCTCCGCGCGGTCGTCGCCGAGCTGGCGCTCGTAGGCCGCCGCGTCCGGCGCGTCGCGCACGGCGTCGGCGAGGACGCCGAGCAGGAAGCGCTTCGCCTCCGGCGCGTCGTCGTGGGCGACGGGGCCGAAGTCGAGGTCGCCGAAGAGGACGCAGCAGACGTCGACGTGGAGCAGCACGGGGTTGTACTGGACCTCGCCGTCGTTCGCGTCGCCGCCGTGTCCCTCGGGGATGCCGACGGCGAAGGCGAACATGCGCGGCCGCGCCGTCCGCGGCCCCGCGTGGACCTCGTTCCCGCCGGCGACGAGCAGCGCGCCCGCGTCGACGTCCGTCGCGAGCGCCCGCGCGACGCGCTGGTAGAGCTTCCCGAAGCGGCGCAGGCCCTCGTCGAGCGTCGGCCCCAGGCTCCCGGCGAAGGCGCGCGTCCACCACGTCGCGGCGAGCGGCAGCGACGATCGCGCGCGCAGGACCGCGATAACCGCGGCCGGCGCGGCGCGGCCGTCCGCGCGCCAGCGCGCCGCGAGCGTCGCCGCGTCGTCCACGGCCGGCCCGTCCATCTCGTAGCAGACCGTCGACGGGCAGTCCGGGGTCATGTAGAGGCACAGCTGCAGGTTCGGATCCATGCCGTCGATGTGGCGCAGCTGGCCGGGCACGGGGCCGAACGCCATCACGAGCATGACGTTCCCCAGGCGCTCCGCGCGGCCGCAGCCGTCCAGCATGGCCCGGCGCAGCTTCGCCGCCGTCAGCGCCTCCCCGCGCCCCGCGGGCGACGCGCGGAACGCGCGCAGGAGCGCGGCGGCCGCGCCGCCGTCGCCGCCGTCGCCGCCGTCGTCGTCGGGCAGGACCGCGCGGTAGATGCGGTGCGCGTCGCTCCCGCCCTGCAGCTCGCCCACGGACCCGTCGTCCCGCTCCAGGTGCGCGTCCAGGATGCCGAGGCACAGCTCGCGCTCGCCCTCGAGCACGAACGCGGAGAACCGCTCGAGCGACGAAGCGAAGGCCTCCTCGCGCGCGCCCCGCGGCGCGACGATGTCGACGCCGAGCCGCTCGAGCGCGCCGAGGACGTCGCCGTCGCTGTCGTCGCGCGTCGCCGAGCTCGCGATACTGCTTTCGCTCGACGCGAGGCAGGCCATCTCGCTCTCTAGGACAGCGGACGGCGGCGGCTCCCTCAACACATCGTCGACGATCGCTGCTTGATGTTCAATTGTAACTTCAACATAACCCCTATGTCACAACGCATTCGTAGCTGGGTCGTCTTAACTGAGCCATTCCGCAACGAAGACGACCGTCTTCGTATCCGCCCTTACATGATCAGCGACGACCGGCGGGGCTTCGGCGGCGGCGGCGGTTTCCCCGGGTCGCCGTCGCCGACGCACGCGAGGATGGCCGCGCGGTCGACGACGTCGACGGGGTGGCGGAGCACGAGGTCGAAGAGGGGCGGCGGGATCTTCGGCGCGAGGCGCGCGGCGCCCGCGACGAGGCGCCGGCCGTCGAGCGGCGGGAGGTTCCGGGGCTGGAGCCGCGCCAAGGGGTCCGGGTCGAGGAGCAGCTCGTCGCGGAGCGACACGCAGAGCGCGGCGCAGAGCAGCACGCCGCTGTGGACGCCCAGCGCGAGGAGCGCGTCCCAGAGCACGACGACCTCGGCCAGCGGCGGCGCGCACGCGAAGAGCGACGCGAGCAAAGGAAACGCGAAGAGGTCCTCCAGCGGCCGCGCGCCGCGCCGCGACGCGGGGCTCGACTCGGCGCCCAGCAGCGCGGCGCCGTGGCTCGAGCCGCTGCTGACGCGCGGCGCCGCGTGCCGAGCCGCGGCGACGGCGGCGGCGGCGTGAGCCGCGCGTAGAGCTCCGGGTCGACGACCGCGAGGCACCGGTCCACGAGGCACGCGCCCGCCGCGGCGCCCCCGAGGTTCGGCGTGAAGTAGGTCGGCGCCTTGGCCGCGACGAGCGCCTCGAGGCACCAGAAGGCCTCGAGCTCGCTCGGCAGCGCGTGGAGCAGCACGCCCGCGATCGACGACCGGTTCGGCCCCGCCGTCGCCGCGGCGCCGGGCGAGCGCGGCGGCGGCGGCGGCGGCCGCGGCGCGCCGTCGGAGCTCGCGCTGCGCCGCCGCGTCGGCGCGCGGGCCGCGTCGGGGCCGCCGCGCCGCGCCTCGAGCTCGTGGCCGAGCGCGTTCAGCAGGCGCGCGAGCCGCGCCTCGTCGACGCGCGCGGCGCCGCCGGACCGGAACGTGCGCCGCGCGTCGGCCTCGATGGACTCGCCGGACCCGCAGGGGCCCCGCGCCACGAGCGCGCCGTAGCGCTTCGCGTCGCAGCGGCCCACGCCCAGCAGCAGCTTCCAGGCGACGGGGCGCGCGGCGCCGTCGAGGCCGTCGACGACGGCGGCCTTGCGCAGCGCGCGCAGCCGGTCGCACGCCGGCGCGTCGCTCCCGTGGAGCAGCACCTCCGTGGGACGGCGCTGGTGCGTCGAGGCGCGCCGATGAGCAATGCTCTCCATGATCTGCTGCTGCCACAAGGTCCAGCCCTACGCGACCGACGCCGGCGTTGCCGGCATCACGGGCTCTCCTACTCGGATCGGCGGCCCCGAGCGCCGCGCAGCGGCAGCACGCCGCATGGGGCTGCACAAGGTCCACCACGCCCAACCTCCTGGCGCGACGGCGCGATCTGGGGCGGCCTCCGCCGGCTCCGGCCGCCACATGGCTCGGCTCGCCAAGGTACCCCACGAACCCCCCTGGATAAGCGCCACAAGGTCCACGCCCGGGGGTCGAGTAAAATCGCCTTAGGAGCCGCGGACGCCGTCGCGGATGGCCCGCCGCAGGTCGTCGAGGAGCCGCGCGTCGTCGGCGTCGGGCGCCGCGCCGCGGCGGAGCGCGAGCGTGGGCTCGTGGAGCGCCCGCTTCGCGGCCCTGGCCGCGGCGCGCGCCTTGTCCGGCGGGAGGGCCGCGAGCTCGGCCGCGAGCGCCGCGTCGCCGATGCGCTGGAGCCGCCGGATGCCCGGCGCCGCGTCGAGGGCGGCGAAGGCGTCGGCGAGCTTGCCCACGGCGGGCTCGACGACGCCGTCGGAGACCGCCGCGGCCACTTCCATGCGCGCGTCCGCGAGGGCCGCGCCGGCGAGCGCGACGCCCCGGAGCTTGCCGATGGCGCGGCAGGACCGCGAGTCGCGCGCGGCCTTGCCCGCCTCGAGCGCGGTCCGGAGCAGGGCCGAGAGCCGCGGGCCGACGGGCGCCGCGTCGGCGCCGTCGCCGGGGCGCGTCGCGTCGTCGAAGGCCGCCTTGACCTGCTTGACGACGTGGGCCTGGTGGCTGTCGAAGGGGTCGAACTCGCACTTCTCCAGGCCCGCGAAGCACGCGACCTCGAAGACGTGGCGCGCCGCGGCCGCGCCCGTCGCGACGGCGAGGTGGGGGCGGACGTCGACGGCGCCGTAGCGCGGCGCGAAGGGCCGCGACCGCCGGAATTGGCTCGCGAGGCCGCCGACGTCCGCCGCGACGGCGTCGGCGACGTCGCCGCAGCCGTAGGCGTAGACGTCGAGCCGCGCGCACGTCGACAGCACGACGCACTCGCCGCCGTCGGCGCGGAGGCGCTGCGCGAGCGCGCGCTCGACGCCGTTGCAGCTCGACCCGGCGCCGTCGCCCATGGCGGCCTCCTTCCACTTCCAGCAGGCGACGTCGTCCACGGAGAGCTTCGCCGACAGGAGCTGCGACTCCGGCGGCCGCGCCAGCGACACGACCTGGAGCCTCGCGAGCGGGTCCAGCGCCGCGCCGGGCGCGAGCAGCAGCGCGAGGCAGGTGCGCATGCCCCGTCACCAAGCCGGGAGAGAAGTCGGGAGAGGCCAGTTTTGTCGTCAAGAAGATTTTTTAAGCGCCGATCTGTGTCGGGCAGCCTCGACCCGTCGTTCCTCCAGGCAGCTCGACGCGCCGTGCTCGTCGCACGTCGAACAAAGAAAGGAGCATGCCGCGCGCCGAGGGCAAGGACGACGACGGCGACGGCGGCAAGGAGGACGACGGCGACGGCATCCCCCAGGGCGCCGTGGACTTCATGGCCTACGGGCTGAGCGACGACTTCGAGTCGATCCGCCAGGCCTTCATCGCCGACAACTGCGCGGGCTTCGAGGACGCCGACGAGCTGCTGCGGTCCGGCGCGGGCTACCCCCTGGAGTGGAGCCGCGTCTACGACGACTACGTCGACATCTACGAGAAGGCGCTGGCGAAGTTCTGCGAGCAAAAGGGCATGGACGAGCGCGCGCTCCTGGAGGACCTCGAGGCGGTCGTGGGCAGGCAGGGCGCGGACGTGCTGCCGACGTTCCTGCAGAGCACGGAGATGGACTTCTTCGTCGCGAACATGCACGACGCGGCCGTGCTCGAGCGCGAGCGGCGCCGCGCGGCGGAGCGGGGCGCGGGCGACGACCCGGACGACCTCACGGGCGCCTACACGTGGATCCCGCCGGACAAGAAGGACCACGAGCACTTCCTCAAGATCGGCTGCACGCCCTGGACCATGCGCCAGGTCGTGCTCATGGCGCGGCGGAAGCAGCCCGTCGTCGTCACGCACGACGCGAACAGACACATCAAGTTCGGCTTCAAGATCCCCCTCATCGGGTCCACGTCGCTCGAGGCGGACCTCGACGGCGTGCGCCGGCCCTTCACCCACAACCGCTTCGCGAAGCCCTCCGGCAAGAAGGGCGGCGAGGCGCTCCTGAACATGACGGGCGACCAGCGCAAGGGCCGCGTGACGCTCAAGCTCGAGGACGGGCCCTGGGCGAAGCAGCGGCCGGGCTGCTACAAGCTCTACGAGTACCGCAAGCGGCCCGACGGCGGCCTCGAGTCCACCCTGACCTTCAACGACCCCGGCGGCGCCGTCCTCGCGCGCCTCGACATCGACTTCGAGCCCATGGCGAAGGGCAAGTAGCTTATCATCCGCCATCCTAGAGCTTGGGGAGCTTCTTCGGGTCGCCGCCCATCTGGAGGTAGAAGCCCACGGGGCCCGAGAAGCCCTTGCCGCCGGGGATCGCGGCGACGGTGAACTTCGTGATGACCTCGCCGGACTTGTCGAAGTAGGCCGTGATGGCCTCGGCGTCGTTCTGGAGCGCCTTGGGCGTCTTCTTGTTCGGCTTGACGGCGGGCACCTTGGGCAGCGGCGAGAAGGGCTTGCCCGTGTGCGTGCCCGTGACGACGGCCGTCCAGGTGACGGTGTTGCCCTTGCCCTTCTTGAAGTCGGCCTTGGGCGCCGTGTAGGACAGGTTCGGCACGCTGTCGAGGATGGCCTGCGTCAGGCCGAGGTACTCCTTCTTGCCGAGCTTGACCGCGCCGCCGTTGAACTCGATGCTCACGTCCGGAGAGAGGTGCGCGTCGTACCACGCCATGACGCCCGCCGCGGGAATCTTGCTGTCGAAGAGCTCCTTGACGAGCGCGACGTCCTTGAGCGGCTTGGGCTTGGCCGCCTTCGGCGCCTTGGCCGCCTTCTCCGCGGCCAGCGCCGGGGCCTCGCCGATGAAAGTGGCGAGGCCCGCCGCGCCGAAGCCACCGAGCGCGCGGCGGCTCACTGCCTGCTGCGAGACCTTTTGCAACGACAAGGCGTTGGCACCGATGGCAAGCGCAATAATGAGTTTCATCATATTTGCGATGGTCGCGTCGACGATGCAAGCTCGAGCAATCCACTTCTACGAAACTTCGGGGACTCGACGAGTCGATCCAAGGGGTAATAAATAGTATATCCCCTTGGTCGATCACAAGCGCTGGCGGCACCAAGTGCGGCACCCCAAACTTTTGAGCTCGACCGCCGCGGCGCCGTCCGGCCGACCGCCGGCTCGCGCCTCACCTCTCGCATCTGCCTCTAGCACCTGCCCACACACGAGGCCTCGCCAGGAAACACCCCCCTACACCCCCCGAAACAGCGACCCCCGGAAAAAAGCACCCTTTACATCGTCGCGAGGATCGCGTCGCGCTTCGCCTGCATCTCGTCCTCGCTGACGAGGCCCGCCTCGAAGATGGTCTTGAGCTCGACGAGGCGCTCCATGGGCGTCTTCTCCGGCGGCGGGAGGGCGCGGGCGTCGGCCGCGAGGGGGTTCGGGAGCGCCGGCGCGTCGGCCGGCGCCGCGTCGGCCGGCGTCGCGGGATCCGCGGGCGGCCGCGGCGGTCGCGGCGGCGCCGGGAGCTGGGGCCCCGCGTCGTCGCGGGCGAAGGCGGTCTGTATCTTCTCCGTGATGGCGTCGATGCAGTGCCAGTTGAGGATGCCGTAGCCCTTGCAGATGCGCGTCGCGGCGACGGCCGCGTCCGTGCCGCGTACCGCCGGGAAGACGCGGCGGACGCCGTCGATGTCGAGGTCGACCCAGGTCGTCGGCGCCTCGCGGCGCGGCGCGGGGAAGCGCCGCGGCAGGGCCCAGGTCGTCTCGTTGGTCGGGCGGTGGAAGTAGTAGTCCGCGCCGTAGTCGGCGTCGAAGTACTCCTCCCAGCCGGCGGCCGCGCCGTCGTCTTCCGGCGCCTCGGCCGTGTAGTCGTCGCCGTCGGGCGTCGACGTGGCGTAGGTGACGACGGCCCGGAGCGCGCAGGCGCTCTCGGGGATGATCGACTTCGTGTCCGGGTGCACGAGCCAGCCCCGTAGGGTCCGGAACGCGTCGCCGAGGCCGGAGAACGTGGGCTTCCGCGCCGCGTGGAAGAGGCTCCAGCAGGGCACGCCGCCCGTGGTCGCCAGGTCGTCCGTGGGCGCCGTCGAGAGCTCGAAGCAGACGTGGCCGGACCGGAAGAGCGCCTTGAAGCGGTCCGGCTCGTCCGTCTCGACGCCGTAGCCGACCTCGAAGGCCGGCGGCAGGTTCTGCAGCTCGCCGGGCTGGTCCAGCGTGAGCCGCGGGATGGCGATGTGCTCCGCGTCGCCCGGCGGCGGCGCGCCGCCGCCGTCCGCGGGCGCCGCGGGCTCGACGGCGTCCGCGGGCGCCTCCGCCGGGTCCGACACCGTGAAGCGCCGGAGGCCGCTCCAGGTCCGCGGCAGGGGCGACGCGCGGTGCCGGCTCCGCGGGTCGCTGAGCACGGCCTCGAGCTCGTGGGCGCCCGGGCCGACGTTGACGAAGAGCGGCGCGTACTCCATCTCGAAGATGGGCCAGCACGCGTAGGGCTTGCCGTCCAGGCGCGCGCAGACCTGGCAGCCGGCGAAGAGGTCCCCGAAGGCCTCGGGCTCGGGCGTGAAGACGTTGATGCCCACCTCGAACCAGTCCTGCGCCAGCGTCGACCCCTCCTCGGGGAACAAGATCTCCGCGCGCGCGTCGAGCGCCTCGAAGGTCGTCGTCGACGCGCCGGGCCCGCCGGGCTCCGGCGCCGCGCCGGAGCCGGCGTCCTCCGCGGCGATGGCCGCGAGGGCCGCGACGAGGACCGCGCGCCGCACCATGGGGCTGCCCCGCACAGCGTCGCGTCGAGAGGCCGGCAGCGGACGGCAAAGGTAAGCATCAAGTATCGTTGCAGAGCAGAGCAGATTCGCAAAATAATAAAGCAGCCCGACCACTCGAGCGAGAGGAGCCGGCGGCGGCGCCCGTTCCCGACCGGCCGAGCGCGAGTTTCGCGGCGTTTGCGCCCGTTCCCGGCCGGCGCCATGGGCCAGTTCATGTCCTTCGAGGGCCGCATGGCCAAGGAGAAGGAGCGCCTCAAGGGCCACGCCTACCAGAACGCCATGAAGGCGATCCGCAAGGCGGCGCTGCGGCCGCGGGGCGACGCGGACATGTCGCTCCCGCTGACGCACTACTACATCAACTCGTCGCACAACACCTACCTCAACGGCGACCAGCTCACGTCGAGCAGCTCGCCCGACGCCGTGAGCCGCGTGCTTCGTTTAGGCTGCCGCGTCGTCGAGCTCGACTGCTACGACGTGTCCGACTACAAGTACGCCAAGGGCAAGTTCGAGGCCACCGTCGTCGTCACGCACGGCGGCACGCTGACGTCCAAGTGCAAGTTCAAGCACATGATCGCGGCGATCCGCGACAACGCGTTCGTGACCACCGACTATCCCGTCATCGTCACGCTCGAGAACCACTGCAAGGAGGAGGGCCAGAAATTGATCGCCAAGATGCTCCACACGATCCTGGGGTCCAAGCTCTACGTGCCCGTCGACGGCGCCAAGGTCGGCCCGGAGCAGCTCCGGGGCCGCATCGTCATCCGCGACAAGCACAAGGAGGAGAAGGTCATCGAGGACGTCATCAACATGGACTCCCAGGACAACGACGACGACTACGAGACCATCAAGGCCCGCGGCGGCCACCTGAAGAACAAGCCCCAGGGCAAGGGCAAGGACAAGGCGAAGATGGGCTCCGCGAGCCCCCGCGTCGCGGCCGTGGACGCGTCCAAGACCCGCGGCGACCTCAAGAGCGCCATCGAGGAGAAGCTCAAGGCCGTGGACCAGGGCGACATGGGCTTCGTCCAGCCCGAGAAGATCGACTCGCTCTTCAAGCTCATCTACGTCCGCAACGTAAAAACGCACCACTTCCGCGACGTCAAGGACCCGCTGCCGTCGGCGACGGGCGCCGAGCCCTTCGTCGGGTCGTCGTCCTGGAGCGAGCGCAAGCACGCCAAGCTCGCGGGCCTGCGGTCCTCGAAGAAGAAGCGCGCGGGCTCCGGCGGCGGCCAGCGCAAGTCCGTCCTCGAGGCGTGCGGCCTCCAGGCCGCGGCCGCGAGCCCCGCCAAGGCGCCGGAGCACGACGACGGCGATCCGGACCACGACGACGCCGCCGTCGCGCTGCCCGAGGACGAGCACCAGGGCGCGCTCATGGCCTGGACGCAGACGTCGCTCGCGCGCATCTACCCGGCCGGCTTCCGCATCGAGTCGTCGAACTACGACCCGTCCGACGCCTGGGCGACGGGCTGCCAGGTCGTGGCGCTGAACATGCAGGTCAAGGGCGAGGACAACCCGCTCTGGACGAACCACGGCAAGTTCCTCGCGAACGGCGGCGCGGGCTACGTCCGGAAGCCGTCGTGGATGATGCGCAAGGACTTCACGTTCCTCAACACCTACTTCGAGGCGCTGCGGACCCAGTCCCTGCCGACGAAGGCCCACCTCAGTGTCCAGCTGACCTCGGCCGAGGGCTGGACGGAGGGCTGGGGCCTCGAGTCCGCGCCGGACGTCTACTGCATCGTCTCCGTCGCCGGCGGCCCGCCCCAGGACAAGCAGCACCACAAGTCCAAGACCATCGACAACTCCAAGAGCCCCGTCTGGAACGAGACGGCGACCTTCGACCTCGCCTGCCCGGAGCTCGCGGTCGTCACGCTCGAGTTCTGGGACGACGACGACCTCTCCGGCGACGACTACCTCGGCCACGTGTCCCTGCCCCTCTCCGAGGTCATCACGGGCGAGCAGCTCGTCATCCCCCTCCTCGGCAACGCCCTCACGCTCTGGAGCCTCGGCGGCCAGCCCACGGTCAAGGTCCGCTTCGACGTCTCCGGCGACCTCGGCGACGGCTCGAGGGACGCCGCGCCCGCGCGCGACGCGGCCCTCTCCGCCGACGACATCAAGCCCGCCATCTCCTACGACAACGCCAACCAGGTCTCCTGCGTCGACAACACGTGCTGAGGCGCCCGCGCCGGCCGCCGCTGTGAGCGCCACCCACGACCCTCGACGCGCCGATCGGGCGCCGGCGGCCGCCCCGACCCCCCCGCACCGCCCCGTGTAACCCTCACCCCCGCCCGCGCCTAGAAGGGCGACCAGGTCGGCGACGTGCCCGTGGCCGACGACGGCGCGGGCGCGGGCGCGTCGTCGTCCTTGGGGCCGCCCGGCGAGTGGCCGCCGTGGGAGAAGAAGCCGTGGGCGCCCGTGGCCTTGGCGACGGACTTGCGGATGTCGCGCATGACCGTCTTGGGCTTGTCGGCGAGGTGCTCCGCGGCGTGGACCGCGGACTCGGGCGCGGCGCGCGCGGCCGGCGCGGCGGCCGGCGCCCTGGACCGGAGGCCCGCGGCGACGCCCGAGAGGATCTGGCGCGCGCCGTCGACGATGGACACCTCCGCGAGCACGGGGCCCGCGAGGTCCTTGACGAGGTGCACCGCGAGCGTCAGGAGCGGGACGCCGTCCTCGTGGGGGCCGGCCTTGAGCTTGTCCCGGAGGTCGAGCTGCTGGATGTGGACGCCCCGGTGGCTGTGGTCGCTGCTGTGGCCCATGAACAGCGCCCGCAGGTAGAAGTTCACGTCGTTGACGACGAAGTGGCGCACGTCGAAGAGGAGCGGAAAGTCCGCCAACATGTGGGCGACCAGCTTCAGATTGCCGAGCTTCAGGTTCGTCTCGTCGCTGCCCTCCTGGAGCTGCTCCAGCGACGTGAGCCGCGACACGTGGTCGAAGTGCGACGGCGCGCGCTCGTCCGCGACCCAGGCGACCTCCAGGTCGAGCGTCGGCGGGTCCCGGGCGAGGAGGAAATCGCGGGAGCGCAGCGCCATGGCGCCTCGGACGCGCGCGCCCGTCTTGGACGCGTAGCGGCCCGGCGGGAGCAGCTCGGCGTGTTCGACGGCGCCGAAGACGTTCCGCGGCGCGACGACGAGCATCTTGAGGGTCACGACCCACTGGCCGACCATTCGCTTCCGCTCGTCCGCGACGACGACGCGGAGCACGGCCGACGGGTCCGCGCAGTGGAGCTCGAGGGCGGCGCCGTCGAAGGTCGCGGCGCCGTCGACGACGGCCGCCGTCGCCGTCGCCGCGGCCTCGCGCCGGATCGTGAACGTGGCCGTGACGTGGGTCGCCGCGCAGGTCGGCGGGAGCGCGAGCGCGAACGCGCGGACGCGGACCGTCGTCGGCATGGCCGCGCGCGCGCCGAGCGCGGACCGCACCTTGCCCTCGGCGAGGCCCCGCACGAAGTTGTTGACGTTGAACTCGCCGTGGGCCTCGCCGGCGTCGAAGGCCACGCAGGCGCCGTCGACGGAGAAGTGGTGGACGACGACCGTGCCGAGCCGCGGCGCGTCGCCGACGCGGAGCGCGTCGTGGACCGAGGGGAAGGGGCTCCAGGGCAGGACCGACACGCCGTGCGCGCTCACGTACTCGACGCCGAGCGAGACGCCGCCGGCGTCCTCGCCTTTTCGCGTCAACCGCCCGACGACGGCGTCGCACGTCTTGATCGCATCGGACAGCGGGAAGTCGACGCGCGCGACGCCGATGACGCGGTCCTTCGCGAGGGTCTCGTGGTCGAGCACGACCACGAAGCAGCGGCCCCCGTCGCCGAGCTTGGCGCGCAGCGCGTCGACGGGCACGGAGAGGGGCTGGAAGCGCGGGTTGAGGTCGCCGGCCCGGACCTCCGTCACCGCAACGCACGCGCACGCGTCGACGTGTTCCGGCGACAGGTCGTCGCCGCCGGCCGACGGCGGCGCGACGACGACCTTGCAGTAGGGGTTCGACCAGCCCTTGGCCGCGCTGAAGAAGTAGCCGTCGACGGCCGCGACGTGGTCGCAGGCGAGCGACAGGACGGCGTGCGTCGGCGTCTTCGGGTTCCGGGCCCGCGCGAGCTTCGCGCGGCGCGCGAGTTCGGCCGCGACGCGCGCGACGTCGACGCTGAGCTCGAGGCGCACGGCGTCCGCCGTCACGAAGCTCTCGTGGGAGAATTTCGCGCCGGCGTCGTGGCGGAGCTTGAAGTCGGCGACGGACGCGCGGACGAAGAGGTGGCGGTCGCCGGACCGGAGCTCTTTGTGGACCGAGAGCCCGACGCCGACCGCGCCCGCCTCGAAGCCCAGGCCCGGCGCCGCGAGCTTCAAGATCAAACCGAGGGCGGCGCCGAGCAGCGTGGGCCCCTCGAGCGCGAGCCAGGGCAGGCCCACGAGGGCCGCGAGGACCAGCGCCGCGGGAAGGCCCCACGCCGCCGCGAAAAGGCCGCAGGCCGCGGCGAGGCCGCACGCGAAGTTGCGCCGCCAGCTCGCGCCGCCGCAGCCCGCGCGCGCCGCGCGCTCGCGGGTCACCGTGACCCACAACGCGACCTCGCCGTTGGGCTGCTTGCCGTTGTACGCCAGCGGCAGCACGAGCCGCGTCCGCTCGCCGGGCAAGCTCAAACCCCGGTCGGCGACGCCGTTCTCGTGCGGGTCGCCGACGTCGCGCGTCGTGCGCTCGTAGACGGCGCAGCGCAGCGCCACGGCGTCGGTGCTCCGCGCCTCGACGCGCAGCGCCAGCGTCGCGCGCTGCTCCGCGATGGCGGCGGGCACGTCGACGAGAGTCTCGGGGTGGGCCTTCGCCGCGCGCGCGACGGTCCAGTCCGCGCCGAGCGTCGACGCGTTCTTCTCGACGCGCGCGCCGCGCAGCTCCGGGCCGGGCTTGCCGCCGTTGACGATGGCTCTCACTCCCACGCGCAGCGTCGAGGCGGCGTGCAGCACGTCCTGGAGGCTGTGGTGGATGGCGCAGCCGCGCACGCTCTCGACCTCGCACGCGACGCGCCACCACTCGAGCGGCGCCTCCTCCTCGGCGACGTCGACGGCGACGTCGGGCACCGTGCCGTAGGAACCCATGGCTTAACTGTTCGCTCCCACCATCCTTTGAAGGCTGCCCGCCGACTAGAGCCGACGAGGAAGCGGCATCGTGCGGCAGGAGAACTGCACGCGTTTGCGTTTCCCCGTGTTGAGGCAATCGATTCAATCGATTTGGCATCCCTAAGCTCGCGCCTCGGCCGTCGTCGGTGAATAGGCCGGAGCCCCCTGGCCGGCGTATCAAAGGGTATACTCGCGCACAGCCTCGTCGAATTCTGCACGTGTGATCCCACCCGCAATGGCAACGATGAACCTCGCGCACTTGGGCCTCCCCGGCGCGGCGATCCCGCCGGCGCCCGCGGCGCCCGCGGCGCCGCCCGCGCCCCTCGGCGCGCCCGCGGCGCCCGCGGCCCTCGGCGCGGCGCCGCCCGCGCCCGCGGCCCCGCCGAAGCCCGAGCCGCCGTACCTCTACGTCGAGAACAACATCACGTGCCCGCAGCTGCTCGCGCTGCTCCAGGGCGGCTGCGGCACCTTCGTCAAGGCGCGGAAGCAGCGCGAGAAGAAGCCCAAGGTCGACGAGCCCGAGCTCGAGGCGATGGCGGCGCCGGCCGAGGACCGCGGGGAGCTCCGCGCGGCGCGCGCGGACGGCGCGGCCTACGAGGCGCGCGCGAAGGCCGCCGACGGCCTGACGCGCGCCGACGCGAAGGAGCGGGACACATCGGCGACCGGCGGCGCGGCGCTCGCGGACATTCGGGAGCTCGGCACGCTCCGCGTCGCCAGGGGCGCCGTCGCGTCGTCGGGCGAGACGCTGGAGCCCATGACGGACTCGACGAAGCTCCTCCAGGACGGCGACGCGGCCGCGCTCTGGCGCCGCTACGACCAGGACGGCTACGTGCTCCTCCGGGGCGTCGTCGCCGTCGACGCCGTCGTCGCCGCGCGCAAGGCGTTCGTCGCGCCCCTCGTCGCCGAGGGCGGCGTCGTCGACGCGGCGCCCCTGCTCGACGACGTCGTCGCGCCGCCGCCGGAGGCCGTCGCCGCGAGCCTCGGCGCGGCGGACCCCGCGCGCGCGCGCGCCGCGGCGCTCGCCGACGAGCGCGCGGCGCCCAACGCCAAGGGCTACACGGTCATGGTCGACAGCGGCGACGCCATCCGGGGCCGCGACAAGCACCACGACGCGAGCCAGCAGGGCGACGCGAAGCGGCGGTGGCGCGACGCGTGCCTCTCGGCCGACGCGCGCGCGCCGTGCGAGGACGCGGGCCTCGAGGACGCGCTCCGGCTGCTCGCGCGGGGCCGCGCGCTCGTCGAGGCCGAGGAACCGGAGGAGTCCGAGGAGCCCGCGGCGAAGCGGTCGAGGCTCGGCGCGCACGCGCGCGCGTGCGGCGTCGACTTCACGGCCGAGGCCGCGTCGGAGCCCGACGCGGCGCCGGAGCCGCCGGCGGGCGGCTACCGCGTCGCGTTCTTCGACCCCAAGTTCACCTGGGTGCGCCTCAAGGCCCCCGGCGAGCAGACCGTGGAGCACGCGGACGTCTACCACTTTGAGCGCGAGACGGGCCTCTTCACCGGCGCCGTCGACGACGTCTCGCCCGCGCCGGAGGCGCCCGAGCCCGACGACGACGAGCCCTGCGCGGCCTGCGGCTCCGCCGACGACCCGGACCGGCTCCTGCTCTGCGACGAGTGCGACGCGGCGTACCACACGAGCTGCCTCGACCCGCCTCTCGATTCGTCGCCGCCGGGCGACTGGTTCTGCCCCAAGTGCGCCGTGCGCCCGGCCATGGGCACGGTCTGGCTCCCGCTCCAGGACGTGGACCACCGCAACGGCGGGCTCGTCGTCCTCCGGGGCAGCCACAAGGCGCTCGACTACGGCCCGGGCGCGTACCGCGACGCGCCGCTCCCGAAGACCTTCTTCAAGCGCGGCGGCTCGAAGCTCGACTGGCGCGCGGCGACCTTCGCGCCGGGCGACGTCGTCCTCTTCTCCGTCCACGCCATCCACGCGACGCCGAAGAACCGGACGAAGGCGTTCCGCGCGTCCATCGACACGCGCTTCCTCGTCGAGCCCGCGCCGGACCTCGCCGCGACCCGCCCGCGCAAGTGGGCGGCCTACGTCGCCAACGCGGTCCAGGACGACAAGGCGCGCCTCCTCGAGTAAGCGTTCCGTTACGAGCGGACGCGTACGACGCGTACAGCATCCAGGCACCGAACTGAAACTGACCTTGAGTCACGTCTTGAGTCGGGCTTCACTCACTCGGCCTTCAGCAATCGCTTGTGGCGAGAAGGCAGCGCTCCTAGCGTCCGGTGCAGCCGCGCGCGCGTCGCACCCGTCGCATCACACCGCGTCGCATCGATCGCTGCATCGCATCGCAGCGGAGCGCCGCTGCCGAACGCCCTCCGTCGAGCGCGCGCGCACCTCGCCGCGTCGAGGCCGCGCGCCGCGGCGCGTCGACGCCATGGCCGACGTCTTCAACGCCTACGTGAGCCCGGCGATCTACGGCGTCATCAACGCCATCCTCGCCGTGCCGGCGCTCTACGGCTACGCGGCGGTCATCTTCAGCGCGCCGGTCTACGGCCCCATACAAGGCCCGCTGAGCAAGGCCGTCGTCCTGAGCAGCGCGGTGCACCAGGTCGTCTTCGCGCTGCGGTCGACGCTGCCCTTCGCCATCGGCCAGGTGCAGGACGCGGGCCTCATCTTCCTGGGCAAGATGGCGACGATCGTCGCCGCGGAGCTGTCGGACGAGCCGCTCGAGGACGTCGTCGCGACGACGCTCGCGGGGCTCTGCGGCGGCACGGCGCTCCTGGGGCTCGTGCTCGTCGGCATCGGCCGCGCGCGGCTGACGTGGCTCGTGTCCTACCTGCCCATGCCCGTGCTCGGCGGCTACCTCGCGTTCATCGGCTTCTTCTGCGTCGAGGCGGGCGTCGCGCTGTGCATCGGCGACGTCGTCAACGGCCCGGGCACCTGGGGCCGCGTCGTCGACCCGCCGTTCCGCGTCGTGCTCTGCGCGCCGGGCATCGTCGGCGGCGTCTTCCTGTCCTGGGTCGCCGCGCGCGACCCGAGGGGCACGCGCCTGCCCGCGGCCATGGTGCTCCTGCCCGCGGTGTTCTACGTGGTTTTGGCAATACTACCAAACTACGACATCGAGGACGCGCGGGCCGACGGCTGGCTCTTCACGGACCCCCAGGGCGAGTCCGCGCGGACGTCCGTGCTGGACGTCGCGCGGCTCTACGATGTGGAGCGCGTGCACGTGCGGGCCCTGGCGAAGCTGGCGCCCGTCTGGGCGGCCATGGTCGTCGTCGTCGCGTTCAGCTCCTGCTTGGATGTGGCGGCCATCGAGATCGACCTGGGCAGCCCGCTGGACATGGACCGGGAGCTGACGACGGTCGGCGTGTCGAACGCCGTCGCGGGCTGCGCGGGCGGCTTCACGGGGTCCTACATCTTCTCCCAGACCATCTTCTCCTGCCGCGCGGGCTGCCGGAGCCGCCTCGTGGGCTGGACCGTCGTCGCCTGCGAGCTGGCCGTCGTCGCGTGCGAGACGGATTTGCTCGGCGCGCTGCCGCTCTACTTCTTCGCGGCGACGCTGACCTTCGTCGGCGTGGACCTGCTCAACGAGTGGCTCCTCGAGAGCCGCCACAAGTTCGCCCAGAAGTCGGAGTACGCGGCGCTTCTGTTTACGTTCGTCGCGATCCAGGCGCTCGGGTTGAACGCGGGCCTGGTCGCGGGCTGCGTCGCGGCGTCGGTGCACTTCATGTCGTCGGCCGTCGCGGCCGCGGCGCCGAAGCGCGTGAACAAGAGCTCGCTTGAGTCTTGCGGGACCCGCAGGAGAGCCGCAAGCTCAGCGCAATGAAGCACCGTTTGGTCGTCCTCGAGCTCGCGGGCACGGTCTGGTGGGGCACGGCGTCGAGCCTGCTGGCGAAGATCAAGCGGTCGCTCGGCGCCGTCGTCGACGACGGCGCGTCGCCGCCGGGCGAGCGGTCGAGTTTATTGCGGGAGGCCGCGCGGGGCCCGGCGGCGGCGCCGCCGGACCCGGAGGCCGCGCGGAGCTGGAACGTGATCCTGGACTGCCGCCGCGTCGACGGCCTCGACGCGTCGGCGTGCCGCGCGTGCTTCGTGCCGCTGGCGCGCCTCGCGGCGGCGCGCGGGTTCGGCGTCGCGGTGTCGGGGCTCCGCGAGGACCACGTGAAGCTGCTGGCGGCGCACGACGCGCTCGCGGGGCGCCACATCCGCGTCTTCCGATCTTTGGACGAGGCGCTGCGCTGGGCGGAGCAGCGCCAGCTCGTCGCGCCGACGCCGGACCTGAGCCTGCTGCGGAACGGCGGGCGCGAGCACTCGCCGCGGCCCAAGAAGCCGCGGACGCGGCCGCTCCAGCTGAGCCCGCGGCGGCCCGAGGACGGCGACAAGCAGTCGCCGGACCGCGACGTGAGCCGCCACTACACGTCGGCCTTCTCGCCGAACACGTCCTTCGACGCGGGCCTGGGGCGCCACGAGGCGTCGCGGTCGCTCGACGACGTCGCCGCGGGGCCGCCCCGGCGGCCCGCGCGCGGCACGCCGCGGAGCCTCGGCCGCCGCGCGGCCGCGTTCCTCGCGACGAAGATCCTGCGCGTCGACCAGGACGACGCCAACTTCCCCGCGACGGTGGACGCGCTGCGGGGCCTGGGCGAGGCGACGTTCGCGCCGCGCGCGGAGATCTTCGTCGCGGGCGACTTCCCCGACGACTTCTACTGCGTCGTCGACGGCCGCGTGGCCAACAACGCCTGCGAGACGGAGCTGGAGTCCGGCGAGCAGCTCGACGGCCGCCGCGAGGCCGCGGAGGTCTTCGGGCCGGGGGCCTTCGTGGGCTACGTGGACTGGGCCCTCCAGCGGCCGCGGCGCTTCAGCAGCCACGCCGTCGACAAGAAATGCACCGTCGCCGTCTTCGGCCGCCGCGCGCTCGACGCGATCCGCGCGTCCGCGCCCCAGGTCCACATCGACCTCCAGGCCGCGCTGCTCCGCACCGCGGCCACGGAGCTCGCGAATAGCACCTAACCTAGCCGTTAAAGATGCCGAAGCCGCGGCTCTCGAAGCCCGCGCGGTCGAATTCCGCCGCCTTCGGCGGCGGTGGTCGTTTCTCCGCGGCGGGCTCGGACTTCTTGTCCTTGCGCGGCTTCTGCGGCTTCGCCTTCGCGGGCCGGCCGAACGCCTCCGCGGGCGTGGGCGCGGGCGACGACGGCGCGGCCGCGGGCGCCGGGGGAGCGGCGGGCCGTCGCGGCGCGGCCGCGGGCGGCGCGGGTCTGTGTTTTTGGGGTTTCGGGCGGCCGAACGCCTCGGCGGGCGTCGGCGCGGCGGCCTCGGGCGCGGGCGCCGCGGGCGCCTTGGGGGCCGCCGGCGCGGGCGTCGCCTTGGGCGCCTTCGGCGCGGCGGGGCGCTTCTGCGTCTTCTGCTGCTTCGCGAAGGCCTCGGCGGGCGTCGGCGCCGGCGACGACGGCGCGGCCGCCGCGGGCGCAGGCGGCAGCGCTGCCACGCGTCGCAGCGCGGCGTCGGCCTCCGCCTCCGCGGGCGCGGGCGGCGGCGGCGGCGCGGGCTTGGCCGCGGGGGCCGGCGCCGGCGGCCGC